CATTTGGTTTCTTTCAATTTTTCTCTCTTTTGAGTTAAACCAGGAATAATAGTTCGAACTTACCGACGTTATAGTTTTATACTGGACCTTGTCATCGAAGAGTGACAAGCGCCACATGTCGGTGTTTATATATTTAAATTTATTATAATCCAACTGCGGCACTACGATATACCGAATAGAATATAAATACACAGCAATATAATACAACTGCCAAGTTGCATTAGATTTTAATAAAAACAAAACATAATCATACCTAGGCCTATTATTGTAGTTTTTTTAAGTGTGAAAGTCTAAACGAATGTGACTGCAATACGATTTGCCTAAATATGGTAAATTATTATAGCTTGTTACTTGTCCACAGGGAAATCTACTTAATATGCATTAATCGGGCCTCGCCTTATTTATTTTATAATAACAACGTTAGTAGATACTGTTAGAACATGCATTGCAATAATATAATATTTGCAATAAATCCCAATATTCAGTGCTTTTGATTGTTACAATGATGTAATAATTACGGTAAATTCGACCGTTCGTCGGGTTTACAAACTTAGTTTATTCACACCACCTTTATTGAAATTCCCACATAGAGGAAATGATTACTTAGTGTAATAAATGATTACGTGAAAGTAAGATTAATATATGGAAAAAATCTTTCTTCAATAATAATACTATTTAAACTATTGCAATATAATTTTGTCTAAGACGTGTTTCCATTCTCGGATCCCATGTTGCTTGTTCCTCTTAATCATTTGCATGCTATTATAAATAAATTCTAATGAAGTTATAAGTTATATTTATTAGTTATAACCTCCATCATGGTAGTAAGTATAGTTAAGTTAAATATATAATTGATTTAATTTTAAAAAAACTATTGCAACTCTTGCAATATAGGCCTATAACGATATAATTGTATAATGGGCTAACACATTACATACACTATGTCATTACATACAACATAGGCCTATAAATTCGTTACTGGTCATTACTCGTGTGGTAAATAATTTAATAATAATAATAATAATAATAATAATAATAATAATAATAATAAAAAGTGGGATTTGTAAAGCGCATAATAGGCCTACAGAGGTCTCTGTGCGCTATAGTTTACAGATGCATTATAATAGAATTACATTGTTGATAATGATGTTGACAAAAACGTAATTCATAGTCCTGTCCAGTATTATCAAAGATATCGTTTGTTGCATCCAAAGCGACGGCGTCTTGTTGTCTATTATGATAATCTAAAAACCAATAACGTACCTCAGTGATATGGTTATAAAAATCGTCATACTTATTGAAGACTATTACACTTAAATGGACAATTTGTTGGCCAGCATTTTTTAGCTCCGCTTACTGTATTTGCGGGCGTATGGTTATGTTCCCGATAACGTCAAACATCGAGTAATATGAAAACGTAACTTCGCTAAAAAAAAAAATAATTAATTTAAAAATTAAAAAAAAAACTAACTTGCAAAGCATATTTGTCAGGACGGTTAAATTGATAATAATTGACGTGTTATAATATAATATTCACACTTCAATTTTGTGGAGATATTTATATCATAATTTTATATAGGCCTATGTAAGCTAAGTTTTCCTAATTTTTGTCAGAGCAATCAGTGTTAAATGTTTAAATGTAAATTGCAGCAGTCATAGGCTTAAGTTAATGTCTAATAAGATTCTTTTCTTATTGTATTCAATATTTTCCTGGATGAAAAAAATAAATATAGTAAAAAATTTATTGCACATAAATGTATAATTCAAATAAAACAAAACAACCTACTTAAGCTTTGAACGACTACCATAAAGAAATGTTTATATTATTGAGCTATGTATGGTTTGACCTTTCGAAGTTAACCTACATTAACGGTTAATGCCTGACATATAAATTGTTATTGTTAGTAAATCAATTGGTAGCACTTATGACTAACAATAAGAATTATTTCACGAGCTTTATTTTCCCCACGATGGGGCTTCATGAAGTGTAGTATTATTTCTTCTTTCATTATTTGTTCCACATGATAAACATACAAATAATGCATAGGTGATCAAGGACCAAGATTGAAAATATAGAATAAAATACACTGCAAAAAACCTTCGCTTAAAACAACTCAAGTTTAGGCCTACTTTTAAAAATATAGCAACTGAGTTATTTTTTAGTATATAAAGGCAGAGGATTCCAAAATTTAGGCCCGTTATAAATAAGAGTGTTCATTTTCAGTGTAGTTCTGACAAATGGAAATGGTCTGTCTTGTTACCGTACTCGCACGAATAAGCGTAATTTTTTTTTTATATTTTTGCACCTTTTGAGGGGCGCTTCTTCAAACGGGGATCTTATGAGAACAGAGTTGAAATTGATGGGGCGCTTATGGAAATAGATGAAAATTGAGTAGTGAAGTCTAGTACAACTATGGAGAACAATAAATATAAATGACAGCAAGCAAAATATTAATTTACTGAACTCTCGCTCTATGCGAGTTTGTTTTAATCACAATCACTACCGGTAAAGTACCTATACTATTATTTATTATTTTACTTTATCATTTATTCCATAAATACTGTATAATATCTGGTCTTTGTTTGAGTGTAAATTTTATTTGTTTTGTAAAAATTATTAGCTATTATGACTAGATCGAGATTAAATTTATAAAGGTCCTGAATTTTCAGAATCTCATTTTCTATGAAGAGGCCTGCGAAGGGTCTCGATAATTTGCTCCAGAACCTATTCTGATTGCTCTTTTCTGAATCAAAGAACTTTGTTTGTGTTTTCATTGAATTCCCCGAGGCAAGAATGTCATAATTTAGGTAGGATAAAACTAACGTGAAATGTAACATGTTTAATATATTTTCTGAGAAAAAAGGATTTAAGTCTGTACATCATGGCAACATTTCTTGCTAAAATTTTACAGAGATAGTTATCATTGAATTTCCCGAGGCAAGAATGCCATAACTTAAGGATAAAACAAAAATGAAATGTAACATGTTCAATATATATTTTCTGAGGGAAAAGGATTTAAGTCTGTACATCATGCCAACATTTCTTGCTAAAAGTTTACAAAGACAGTTAGTATGTCATGAGTTTTCCAACTCAATTTATCGTCGATGTAAATACCAAGGAGTTTGGCATCTGTAACAAATTACCATCGTGTTTGCGTACCATTGCATTGTTTAGGTTTAGGTTCTGAACTCAACTCAATAAACTACATACCGTACTTTACATCATTAAACACAATAGGCCTATCACTCGGTAAAGATTTTACGGTGTTACTAAAGAGGATATAAGGATAATTTTTTAGCGTGTATCCAGGTAGTAACATTTATCAATTCTAGATTAACAAAAAAAGAATTTCAGGATTGTTATGTGTATAGAACAGGCTAGAATCACCAGCAGATAAAATTGATGACATGAAGTTTAGATAAAATTACATAAATAATAAAGAGGAGAGGGCCCAAAATGGACCCCTGAGAGGCACCATACTTGATAGAGATGCATTGACTCACCTAACGACACCAGTTGCTGTCTGTTTAATTTAATCGAGCGACCAATTAAGAGCCACCCCTCTAATCCCATAGAAAGAAAATTTCAATATTAGAATATCATGGTCAATTGTGTCAAATGTTTTAGGAGTACAGGTAGTACAGAAAAATTCCAATTGTGTCATTTGATTATCTAGACCTAAAGAAATTTTGTCAATGAAATGTGAAATAGCGTGTAACGTCGTGTATTTTTCTCTGAACCCAAATTGAAACTCTAAAAATTAAAAAATATTGAAAGATTTTTAAAAAATTACCGTAACTGTTCGCGAGTAACAAGTTTTTCTAGAATTTCAGAAAAAGTTGTCAGTAGCGAAATTGGTCGATAATTAAACATATTTTGAGAGCTGCCTGTCTTTAACAGAGGAATTACTTTGACAATTTTCATATCATTAGGAACACTCCCTTTACATTGGAAAAAATAAACTGTCTCTATTTGGCACATTCAAATAGCTTTTAAGTGATTTACTAGTAATCAGCATTGGTTGTGCCAAAGAAGCACCGATATTAGAGAAATATTTATTTAAGGATTCAAGGGGGATTTATCTATGGTATAATCATGGACCAGTATTAATAAGGTCCATGGTATAGGCCTAATCGTAGTATTATTGTCGACACGCAAACAACATGTTTAACAACCTTTTATTTCTTAAGTTTAACCAGGGTTTCTCACAAACATGATTAATGTGCCTAGGCATACTGATACAAGTAGTTAATTCAGTTAACCTTACTGATTTGTCGGGTTACGTGATTTAGAATGAAATACTCCATAATCCATGAAATACTCCATAAATAAACTCCAGAATAATTCCTGAAAGATGTGACTGAAGAGGGCGTGAATATGGTGGACGTATCCCAGATAGTAGAATTACTATTTATCTTTAGTTTCAATAAGATGTATAAATATTATCGGTGACTGTATTACTCAACAAAAATCACAAATCGATAATCGATGATGTTATAATACCTGCGTCACGATTTGCGATTTCCTAGAAGCAGTAAAAAAAAAACGTCAGAGATACTGGTCCTGTGCTGTTGCAGCGTATTTCTGTTAATAATTAACTTGACTTTTCATGAAAGTTTAATTAAAATATACACTATCATTATAATAGTCTTATCATCAATTACCAATGAGAATTTAAACTTAAAATGACTCTTTGTGTCTGTCCTGTACGGATCCCCCAAAGGGACATGGTTGAAGAAAATATTAAACTATATTCGAGGGAACGAAATAATATTTCGAGGGAACGAAATAATATTTCGAGGGAATGAAATAATATTTCGTTTGAACGAAATATTATTTCGAGGGAACGAAATATTATTCCGAGGTCTCCGGCTAGGGGAACGATGCCCCCGACGAGGGGTCAGATTTCTCCGACGAAAGCAAAATGGGTGTGGTCGGAAAAATTCGGAACCTTACGAACAAACAAACATAAGGTCAAAGTTTACTAACAAAAGTTGATCTGGCTGGGGATTTAGTTTATCTCAGTGTTTATTATCGTCGAATTCATAGAAAATGGAATTTTTAATTGGTATTGAAGGGGATGGGTTTGTTTTAGTTGCTTCTGACAGAACATCAGCAAGAAGCGTTTTTGTTATGAAACATGGTAAGTTGATAAATATAATGATGATAACATTATCATTAGACATGAGGACGGAATGGGTGACTTGCACTATATCGGCCACACTCAGCCCAGTGCATTGTGCGGCATGATTGCTTGAACGTACATACATGACCAGCCTAGAGGCCTAGCCTAGCCCTCTAGCTAGACCTCAGCAGCGCAGCAATGCAGTCTGGCCTGGCTAGGACCAGTAGACCTAGACTTGAATAAAAGCTATACTGTATATATATATAGCTAAGCCTAAGCTCAGGCCTTATTCTCCCAACAGACAAACTGCATACCTGTCAACCTTGAGAATTTCAAAGAGTAAGAATAAGATCGGGTGACACATAAACCAGTGCTGAAGGCACGAACAGTGGCTGGGCCCCGCCAAGGGCTCCTAGTCAGGGTCCAGGAGCCGGGGCGCTTTGGCTTAAGAATGACATATCTAATTGATATTAGTGAGTTTATAATGATCTCAGTCAGGGTACAGGAGCCGGGACGCTTTGGCTTAAGAATGGCATATCTAATTGATATTAGTGAGTTTATAATGATCTCAGATACAGTGGTTATTGAAAGGTAGTTTAAGATAACGAAAAAGAAAGAAAATTTACTCAAATTTTAGGATAAGCGTAAGTTTTGCCAGTGTTTGAGTACAGTAAGACCGTAAGATTTGTTTGGAATGCGTAAGACTTACGGCGAATGCGTACGGGTTGACAAGTCTGAAACTGGCACTCCTGATGGCTGTGTATGTGTTTAGTCACCTCCATGCATGCATTGACCATACCTACAACAAACGCTCACCTAACAACCATTCATTGATTGCCAAACGTCTTTTTTAATCTCTTTCATTTTCATGTAAGATTTACTGACTGTAAATTATTTCTGCATTTTGACATTTTATTGTATTGTGTGTTTTTTTTTGTTTTTTTTATTAATTTATGTGAAATGAAATATATTTCCACCTTTATATTTTGACAGATCAAGACAAAATGTTTAAGTTAAGTGAAAAAATTGCAATGTTGGTGGTTGGTGATTCCGGTGACACTGTTTCATTTGCAGAATTTATTCAAAAGAATCTCCAACTCTACAAAATGAGAAATGGTAAAATAATGTTTGAGAATTATGCAATTATACTGGGGAGGTTAAAAAAAAGGTGGTGTGGCGAGGAACTGGCCCCCTTACCACACAGTGCCGAGGCTTAGTATAATGGGCTCCAAAAGCTCATTCCCTACAATCATTAAAGAATACAGGACTACCTTTATTTCACCAAAATACTATTACTTAATTGAAATTATGCAAGCATTTTAGTGAAGCATAAAAACTAATTCCTTGGTCATAGAGTTAGTTTGCTATATACAGTGTGCACTGTATATCTTACATGGTCCCTCTGTGCCAACCTGGATTGTATTGACCGGGAGATTAATATTTGGAAGCTATATACGAGATTTTTATTAAAAGCTTTCAATTTATACTATGAAGGTTGTAATTAGTACAATTTGGTGGACGTGTGCTTAGTTTGCAAACAGCAAATTGCATGACAGCGATTTGGCTAAATGCCCACTCTAGTTAATATTAAATAATACAAAAACAATGTTTTATTCTTTTTGATTAGCAGCTACTGTAAATTGTACATGAGGTGTCATACCTCTGCAAGCTGATGTTGATTTTATTGTACAGTTATTCTGTTATGTTTTGAAACATTATGCAGTACAGCTGACATAATAACTTGTACCATCCACTGAATTCTTAAGTTGTTTAATTATTGTTTCTACAGTCGACTTAGGCAAGTTTAACTGTATAATCATCAGTATATTACTCATGCTAAATATTTTTTGGTTTTTTTTGTTGTTTTTTTTGTGGATAGGTTATGAACTTTCACCGCATGCAGCAGCTAACTTCACCCGCAAGCAACTTGCAGATGCTCTTAGAACCCGTGTATGTGATTACAACCATTTACTCATTTCCCATACAGTATACTGACATTTTTAAGATAATATTTATTTTTTCAAATGTAAATTGTATTTGTTAGTAAATAACTATTGTTTATTAATAATTTACAGTAGTTTTTCATAAGATATGACTGATATTCTTATATTTATTTGTCATGTAAATGACTTTGTTGAGTCTGTAACTTTATGCAGTTGTATTACTGTTAATTAAGTTTCATTAGTTCCTGTACACCATAATCAACTCATATTAATTTGTTTGTTTTATTTATTTTTCAGTCGGCATATCAAGTGAATTTATTGATGGCAGGTGTCGATGATACAGAAGGCCCATCATTATACTACATAGATTATCTGGCATCACTCAATAAGGTACCCTTCGCAGCACATGGCTACGGCTCATTCTTCTCCCTCAGTGTATTAGACAGATATTACAAGAAAGGTGAGTTTTATTTGCTGTCACACAGGCCTGTATTGATTAAGTGATGTGTTAAATATGGGAGATCAAGAAGGCTTAGAAATAAATAAAAACACCAAAGTATCAACAGTTTAATATCTAATTAATCATAGTATCAAATTTCAGTCATGTTAAGCCAAAAACATGAGGGTTATTTCTCACCGGTAGCTTTCAGTCCGCAATCTTGTACCTGCTTCAGCTAATTGACATTGGCACGTAGCCAATGCTTGTGTCACTGATGATTTAATCATATCACAAATGTTTTACTTCACTGGTATTTCACATCTTTTTTTAGCTTATTCCGTAGAAAAATGTATGCACATTCAACTTTTGAAGACAATTACTCAAAATCATCTTTATCTTGACATCACCAATTCACCATATATATACAATTACATTTTAATTGTTTTTGGTATAAATTGAAATTATCAATTGGTGAAATGAAATAAAATAGATTGTATTTTTTTTTCATAGGTCTCTCAAAAGATGAAGCAGTTGACCTTCTGCAGAAAGCCCTCCTTGAAGTTCAGAAGAGGTTCATTGTCAATCTACCATCATTCCAGGTTCGAATCATTGATAAGGACGGAATACATGATCTACCCACAATGCCCCTTCAGAGTTCTTAGGGGCTAAAGTTTTCTACCAACTTGTCAGATTTTAAATATTATCTTCTGCCAACGATGCATTAATTAGTGGTAGATATCCCCACTTTCTACCCAATGCAATTTTGATAGAAGAAGGTACTCTATAGTTGTCCAGCAGTATTGAAGAGAACATACATGCAGCTCTTCTTATACTCACTCAATTGTAATTGTTTTACCAACAATTGAGTTGATAATTACATCTACCAAAATGCATCATAGTGAATGCTGTTTCTACTACATTCTACTATTTTGCTTTAACAGAAAAATGTAATAATTCATTACCAGATTGTGTACACTAACAACTCTGCAGATACTTGTCAGTTTGTGAATAACTTCTAGAATTTATTGTTTTATCATCAAGTTTGTTACAGGTATACAAAATTGTTAGAATATACTGTACACTTCACAGTGTAAGTTTAGGATTATTATCTACATAATAGGAATGAAATAATGTCCGGAACCATATGGAAATCAGATGGAATATAATTCTGTATTTGTTTTCTGTTATTAAAAGCACAGATATTTATGGTTATTGTGTGTGAATTTTTTTTCTCGATAAGTCTGAAATAATTTAAACATAATTCATGACTCCAAATACCGGGATAATGAAAATGTGAAGCACATCGAGGGCTTATCATAATGTGCTATATAAGTCTACCATTATTGTTGCTGCTGCTGCTATTGTTGTTAATGTTATTAGTAATATCATGTAGTAATAGGGCCTACTGGCTGTGTGTATGGCTATTGCTTTAATATAAACAAATCAGTATGGCAGCAGAGGTACCCGGCGAGAGGAAAGTGTTCGTTGTCGTGTGTCCATTAAAATGCTTCGAAAGTGGTCCAGGGGGGGGGGGCGGAGTTTCAGAGGCTTATTTAATCGATATTATATATAGATAGTCTACTAATATGTAGAAAATACATAGACTATAATTTTTTTTTTTTTTTGCGTATTGTGGTTTTCCTTCTTTTCTGTGAGGGCGGGGGAGCAAGAAAACTTTCTGAGGGAAATTCACCCCCCCCCCCGTAGCGCCGCCACTGTTCAAAATTTACAAATTTCAAGAATAATAATAATTTTTAATACTGTACTCCCATTCCAAGGAAAGATTATCAAAGGAGCACTGTAACAGCAAGCTTCTGAAGAGATGATTTTTTAATATAGAGGTAGATGACGTAATTGGAAGAAGGTAGTACGTTCCAAAGATAAGCGGCAGTGCAAATGTTCTTTAGCTATCTGTTCTTGCGTCCCACACATATTCATTATTAAAGCTTATTGCTTTTGATACACTTTCCCATTTATCAGCTTATTTAATGTTTATGCATCTGCTTCATATACTGTAATGAATTGTGTTATGATAAATGAACTGTAGTGCTACTAAACTGACCTGAATTAGCAAGCAGACTACCGCAACAGTAGCCATCCATTGTGTCCGATATCCGGGTTATTACAAACTCGAGAGCGTAGGTAACTGTGGCAACGAATATGTCGTGGTTTATTGTGGATTATCTCTATTGAAATCATTAATACATTTTAAGTTAATACGCACTCAATGCCATTCGTAAACTATCAACCATCCGATGTTAATCTAGTTGGTTTTAGAACAGCAAATCATTGTACATTGGTTTCGAAAACAGGTTTAGAATACACGGTAAGAAAATAATGTTTGTTATTAATATGTTAGTATTTTGATACCGCATTACAATTATTGCAAGAGAGTCAGGAAGAGGATCCGCCGTTTAGGGACTGCAGTTGTTTTTTCATTAGAAATAATTACCTTAAAACAAACAGTGATGTTTCGACAACTTGATAGTTTGTATATCTAAGTTGACACAATGCTATTGAGATTTCAAATAAATAGAATATATATATA